CACGTAGTTATTGTACAATCCTGACAATAAAAGGAAAGAAGAAAATATGCAGAAACCCAAATAATAGAAATCAAGACTGCATTAGACAAGCTATGAAAACAGTGAAGTAATTACCACTACTACAAGTAAAGGAAATTTTTGTACATTATATATACACTGCCCCAATGGGCTTTCATGGACAATATTCATATTGGTCAGTAGTGGTGCAAGTCAGGTACCCAATTTGAAGAATTTACACTGCATCAGGCCTGGGGCCTCTCCAGCTGGAACCCATCAAATTCTAACAATTACTCAACCTGGGCCCATCAAATTGCATCCCCATTGGCCTGGAACCCCATGTATCTGTTATCAATACATCTATTGCCTCAAGGAAGACTGATGCATGAACGACAGTGATCTGCACTTTTACTCTTCTTGCTTGTTTTTAGAAAAATGATGTCAAGGAGTTACCAGAACCTGTAGTTAAATGGGATAGCTCCAAATTTGTCTGTTATTCTGTATATATTCACAGTTCCATACGAATAATGATATAATTCTGCTTATCACAATCTAGAAAGAGCCCATATCATTGTTGGTCCTGTCTATCTGGGGTCTTGGGAGGGGCGGACTAGAGATATACCTAACCTTTGGCATTCCTGCAGGAAGTGTCTGTTCTTAAACTTGGACCTACATTCCTGCAAGAATGGCTGCCCCTAACCTATAGTATACTAACATATACAACATTAAGAATGCTTAGCTGGGTGAGAAGGGAAAAAAATTCAAAGCAAACTTGTTGCTTTGAAAGCAAATATGTGCCTTGCATATACTTGGTAATTATATAAGTTTTCCTGCACATGTTTTCTCCACACATTTGTTCACTTTTGACTCATCTAGGACAATATTCTTTCTACAATTTTATTTGACTAAACACAAGATGGAGGTCACTTCATTACTAAATAAGAACTGTGGTTTTCCTCTTGCTCCTTATAAGTTTTTTTATCATTGTTTACTCCATAGAGATTAAAACTATAGAGCACTATTTGACACCATCTAGCTTGATCTTTTAGGTTAATATCCTGTATGTGAAAGTGCATCGTGGCAGCTAATGGAAATTTATATAAAGGCTCCATTTGTTGCCTAGTCTAATTAGGTGCTCTTCAAAACACTATACGTCTATACCATACATCACAATGGTATGGTCATTGGCTTATGGATGAACACTTTCATATCCTCTTTGAAACTTATTTAAAACATTGAAGATAAACCTGACAATAATGTAATGCTGGAACTTCTAGAAGATAAGTCGCAAGTATGGCTGCTTGATTATGGATATAGATGCAACTAGCTAAAAGAAATAGCAGAACTTGCTCCAATAAAGAAAGCCTCAAACTCTTGTTGGCTCCCTCCACCTCATGGCTTTACTAAACTGAACTTTGATGGCAGCAGCATGGGTAATTTAGGGCCATCCGGAATAGAGGGAGTAATAAGAGATGAACAGGGGAATTTGTTAGCTATGTTTTTTGGACCAATCGGGGTGGGAGATTCCTTGAGGGCTGAGATACTTGCAGCTCTTGAAGGGATACAAAGGATCAAGGATATGCAAATTAACAAGCTGATCATAGAAGGAGATTCTGAAGTGATGGTAAACTGGCTAAAAGAGGATAACTCTAGACTTTGGAATTACAACAATGAAAAGAGGAAATTTACTTGTGGTTATGGCATGAAGTGGTGGCAAGTATCCATGGTTGTTCCAGAAATGGTTGGGATGCAGGGGTATCCAGACGGGCAACTCTTGCAACACCTTAGAAGGCAAATTCATGGCATCCTCCCACAGTTCCTACGCTTTGTAAGGTATGATGCTTGCTCTAGGACTCGGGTTCTTTTCTGGGAAGACACTTGGGTGGGAAATTTGCCCCTTAAGGATCTGTTCCCTTCTCTCTTCTCTATTTCCCTTTATAAAAAATAACCTGTGTCTTTCTTTCTTTTGTCCCCATATACCCCCTTGTCGACAAATTGGGACCTTGACTTCCGTAGAGGGTTGAGGGATGAGGAATCCCTATCAGTTTTTGAGCTCTTATTGCTACTTGATTCTGTTTGCATGGACCCACTCATTTTTGATAGGAGGATTTGGACTTTGACTTCGAAAGGGTCATTTACTTGTGCTTCTTTCTTTAATTCCCTTTGCTCCAGTTCCTCTCCTCAGGTTTAAGGAAGTATGGTCTAGGCCTGTTCCCCCAAAAATAGTCGTCTTTTGTTGAGAAGTTTACTATGGTAAAATCAATACGATGAATAACCTACATAATAAAAGAGCAGAATGAGGACTGTTACCACTTATTGATTTCTTGTCCTTTTGCTGCAGCCATTTGGAATTGGGTATTTGATTTGTTTGAGTGCAGGTGGAACTTGCCAGCTAAGGTAAATTTTCTGTTTTCCCCTTCTACCTTTGTGTGGACCACAAGAAGAGGGAGAATCATGTTGAAGTGTATAAGAGCAGCTCTCCTTAGGACTATTTGGGAAGAGAAATTTCAGAATTTTTCAGGAGAAGGAAAGAAGCATTCTTGAGGTCAAAAAGTATTACAAGGACTATTTTGTGGCTGAAATCCTTAAAACTCTTTGAAGATTTTTCCTTTGAGGATTTAATGAGGAATTGGTCTGTAGTTGCCCTCACTTCCTCTAGGAAGCCTAGAGTTCAAGTAACTTGGACTCTGCCGGTGGAGGGTTTTGTTAAGCTGAACTTTGACGGGAAGAGTCAGGGTAACCCAGGACTGTGGGATTGGTGGTGTATTAAGAGATGAGAACAGCAACATCATTTCCTTTTTTTCGAGACCAGTGGGAATAGGAGACTCTATGAGGGCTGAAAATTTTTCTTTTACCTTTGTTTTGTTCTTTAACTAAAGAGTTAATGGTCTCTTCCATCTCCCCTCCTTAAAGGGGAGGTAGCATCTTGTGCCTCTCCCTAATTTGTACTATCTTTGGCTTTGATTTAATAAATCTGATAATTCACTGATAAAAAAAAGAGGAAATTTAAATGGCTGACTAAGGACATGGAAATTCAATACAAATGGGTAAAAAGAAGTGTGAACTCATTGGCAGATGGTCTAGCTAGACAAGGGGTGAACATAAATTCTATATTTTGGGCTGTATTGTAATCATTTTTTTGGTGTTCAATGGTTGTTATCGGGAGCTAAGGCTGTTTAGCTCCCTTGCTCTGTAACCTTTCATATTAATAATTTTAATACAATTCACAGATATAGATGAAAGAATGGTAGGATCCATCTAATGGACGCCATAAAGGTTGCGGAATGGGTGGGGCGAATTTCAAAAATTTCCTACCTTCTCCCAACTGGGAATCATATTCCCTAGATTTAGAATACAATATTCAAGGATCCTACTTGAACTATA